ATAGTCTAAATAATCAGTGTTAACAACTGCATTTCTATATAGCACATAGTACAGGGAGGCTCAACTGGAATTCCACACTTTAAAAAAATAGATGTTCAATCCAAGTCTCACTGTCTATTTTGCAACCACTGTTTTGCTTTTCTGTCAGGACAGCTGGCAATTCAAAGCCTTGTTTGCCTATCACCAAACTGCTTCAACAATGATGCAAGCTACAGTAAATATTAGTTTTATTAACTTCACATTACAATTAAGTTAACTGTCTGAGCTCTTATACATATCACTCTCTTAATTAGCCAGTCTGGAAAGAAATGAACACACAGCTCTTCATACAACTCAAGTGGTGGAATAAATGGAGTTTCTTTTGCTTTCAAGAGGATGTTGGTCCTACTAGGATCATTATAAATCTGCATCTGAAGGTGAAAAGTTTTGTGACTTTCCAAGGACCATTAGGAATGTTTGAAAAGGAGCAGGAGCATTACCAAAAGAAATGATCATCACACAGGGTTAAGTCAGATGACCACGTTTTGTCAAAAGAGTTAGATGTCAAAAAGTGTATCCTAAAAAAGGAGGAAAGTGTAGAGATTCCAGGATGGCAACTAAAGAAAAGACAACTGATAGTGAAGCATTTATAAAAAGAAAATCAGGGATGTTCAACAGGCCAGAATCAGAGAAGCACAGATATCAGAGGGCTGTGGGGCAGAAGATTAGAGAGATATTAAAGGGGCATAGCCATCAAGGGATATGACAGTATTAAGTATTCTACAATGGAGGTATAAGCTTGATGAGGAACAAAAGAGAGATCACCATGCACCAAGATGGTAGGCAAAAGGGACTTGGTGCACTTTAGGCCACAGGCAGAGTTATGAAACCTTAAATTTAGAAGTTAGAATGTAATAGACCAGTCAATACCAGCTTGAATATTCCAAATATGAAAAAGGCATGTTCAGCAGATTGCCTGTCTTTGAAACTGCATTAGTCTATGTTACAGAGGTGAATAGGCACACGAACATGGATCAGGAGGAAGTAGCCATTGGTTCAGAGCCTACCTGACCATTTAATAAGATAACAGTTGATCAGATTGCAAGCTCAAACCAACATTTCTGCCCAGTTCTGATACCATTACCGCACTCCCTCCCCCACCTTGCTCATTTAGAATCTACCCTCCTCAGCCTTAAAAATATTCAAAGACCATATCTGAGAAGAAAAAGGGTTTTAAAATTGGCAATTTTTGTATTTTTAAAACAGGAAAGTGTGATCCTTGGTCAAGATTCACCCATAAGAAATATCTCCCCCATATCTAGCCTGTCAAGACCTCTCAGCATCTTCTGTACTTCAATCAAGTCTTAATGATGGAACGAATGTGGTTGTAACCTTCATGTTTATTTGATGAGCTTCCAAGTAGTCTAGTTTAGCATCAGACAATGGCCAAGGAGCCAACAGCTAGAAAATTTGTTTTTGATTTATTTTTGATCCCAAGTCTTTCCAATAGATAACAGAAGACAATTTCTTTTTATCCAGTACTGGATGTTGGATAAACACTGATAATTTAGCACAAGTGGATGGGTCAGGACAGGAGCAATGTTGAGTCAGAGCTAGAAGTTGTCAGTATGTATGTGAAAACTACTACGGTTCTTCAGAAGGTGTCACTAAGTTGCAGCACGTGCTTGAGAAACACAAGCGGGCTAAAGAATGCCAGAGAAATAGACACTGTTGCAAATAATACTCTGGGTGACAATACAGAAGATTGTAGTATCACCCACCTGCAATGATCAACCACAGGTTGAGATGGACTTGGAGGGCATATTTCCCTTGTAACAGCACTGAAATGCCATTCATCGCCACCAATAGTCATTTGAAAACAAACAAACAAACAAAGATTCCATTTGGAACCTGCCTCCAAGCACTCAAGCAGTCACTCCAGATCCGAATCATGCAAATGCTTTTCTTCATGTCCTTGTTTCTTCTAAAGAAAACAAAAAAAATCTACGCTCTCTCATTTTCAATCCTGGATTCAGAACTCTGATGATTCTGAACACTTCAATCGGATTCTCTAAGCCTTCTCTTCCCCCAGAAGACAGTCCCATCTTCTCCAAGCTATTTTCAAAACTAACAACCTTCATACCTGGAACTATTCTCACAAACCCCTTATTTTCTCCAATTGCTTTACACCTTTCCTGAAGTGTGCCACCCAAAAACAGAAAGCAATAATTCAACTAAGGCTGAACTAGTGCCTAACAAGAGTTTAACATTAACCTTCTTGCTCTTGCTCTCTATGCCTTATTACTAAAGCCCAGGATATTGAATGCTTAATTAACTGCTCTCAACTTGTCCTGTCACCTTTAATGAATTATGCATATATACAGCTAGAACCCTTGGATCCTGCAGCCCCCTTCAAGTTGTACACTATTTTAAATTGTTGTTCTACATTCTGCCTGCCGAAATTATCAACTTGCTTTTGTTTTGCACAGAATGTCACCTGCCACTTAGGAGCCCACTGCAGTAACTTGTCTTATGCCTTTTTTTAAGTTCTACACTACCCTCCTCGCAATTTACATAGAATGACATGAGTTTGAGAAGACCAGGCTCAGTGCTCTAACAGGGTAATTAGAAGGATTTTAAAGAAGAGTTCCAGGAAAGACTGGTGCACATGATTGGAGAAGCAACATTTAAAAAAAAATTTTAAAAAAAACAGGTAAAATATTTCCAAGGATGCTGGGGTCAAGTAATTGAGGAGAGGTGGTGAAGACAACAGGTCTAAAAGATTAGAACGGGACAACACCTGGAGAAACCGAACCACCAAAAATATTGCCAACATGGAGATCAGAGGTAAAAGTTAGGTTGTCAGCAGTTTAGTGAAACTAGGATCAAGTGATCAGAGGATGGATCTCATGGATAGGCTTGCAAAGTGTATGGAGGGGAGATAAAGAAAAACTGGAGAAAGACAAGAGCTCAGGTAGAGCAGGAAAAACCATTAAAAAAAGTTTGTTTGACCAGTTGGTCTAGTAGAAGGGATACTACAAATGCAGTTAAATCTGAACATCTTAGTGTCAAAGAATTCCATAAGCTTCTATAAACATACTTCCTCCACCCTCACCTCCTAATAAGACGAGCTTAAGACAACTGTTTGGTCTACAGAAAGAAGTTTGTTTTTTTTAAAAACTGTCACCTTTTTCATTTCCCTGACTAGAGCACAGCTTGCAATTGATTTCACTCTAATCCACTATCCCTAAACAAGCACTTTCTAAAAACAAAAGTGCACATTTCATGTAGAAATTCCAGGTTCAGATCATTCCAGAAACTTTCCACATACAAACTAAACGATAGAACTTACACTGGCACACACTGCCAAATTTCAAACATGCACTTCCATTACACAAGTTGCCTCAAACCATAAACTACGCTGCAATCTTTGCCAGTAGAAAAGTACAAATCCGAAGGCATGTAAAACAGTAAATTAATAAGCATGTTATATAGATATCTTTTAAGCCACACTTTTTTTTTGTGACCGAGTGTAAATGTGAAGGACACTTCAAATTTTCATACTCGACTCAACCCCAAAAGACAGGGATTGTTCCTCAGTACCTTACCAGTTCTTTGTGAGCTCAACTGCTTATTCAACTGGAAAGGGCAACAAAACCAAGACCCATTTGGCTGCCAATTCACAAAATGTACTAATTGCTTTCAACACTACCTAAAAGGTTGCAAAAAAAAAAAAAAAAAACAAAAAACAAAACCAGTCACCATATTCTGTTGCTAACTGTCATTCATGGACCCTTATAAGCTAATGGATATTAGCTGACGGAAGACCGAAAAATGGCTAAGATCTCAAAATAGCATTCTAACATTCACTGCACACTTATTGGAGACAGAATATATGCAATGCTTAGAAATGAGTTTTCTTCCCATTTCTTTTCAAACGATGAAGAACAAGCAAACTTCTGCTCTACAAAAATTGCCATTTCCCCTTTCCTCAGTCCTACATCTTTTCCCTCAACTCTGCCTCTCAAACATTAAGAGCACACCACTCAGTCCCTCAAGTCCACCCCATCATTCAAGTAGGATTATGGCTGACGTAATTGTCTTTAACACTAATTTCTTGTCTATCCCTCATAGCCTTTGCTTCTTCCTTGTCAATCGGCCAAATAAAAATATTCAAATGCCCTATAACCACAGCACTCTGGGGAAGAGTTCCAAAGATTACCAACCCTCAAAACAAATTCCTTATTCCTTTACATCTTAAATGGAAGACACTTTACTTGTAAACACATTGATGACACTGACTGTTGCTTGAGCAACAGAAAAGCTTGAGGAGTCCTGTTCTATGCCATGTGCCAAATTGACACTAGAAGCATCATCACTCCCAGCTGCCCTTAAAGGAGGAAGGAAACTTTGAAAAAAAAAACACAAGACGACACAAATCAGAGAGCAATGTTGCTATTGTTGAGCAAAGACAAATATCAGACGAGCAGCAATTCTTGTATTTTATATTTTGCAGATATTTGCCGTGGCCATACAAAATTAACACCGGTCATTTAGTAGGCCAAACGGCCTCTTCTATACTATATGATTCCATGAATTAGTCAGGCATTGACACGAGAGACAGGAACGGAGGAGGGGAAAATAAGATTCAAGTGTCACTTGCCAATGACAATACCGGTGGTTAGCCACCAAAACAGCCAATTTATGCTCATTAAAAAAGCTACGACCACTCAGGAAGCAATGGGATCTTGAAGATACATGGACGTGTGGCTGTGCATCAATATGGAATAAACTATGCAATGTGACAAACAAGTTGAATACTCAATTTTGGGAAGAAAACAGTACCCATGACCCAGTTATCCTCTCAGTCAACCTATCATTTCTAATTTTTTCACTATATTACCAAAAAGTGAGGCAAGTGTTGACTCAAATATATCACACTAGAATGTCAATTCAGGTCCACACACACGTACCACTTCACAACAGAGTGAAAAGAAAAATGCACAAACAATCAACACTACCTGTTGCTATGATTCTTGGAACTGGAGGAGCTGTGCTTGGATTTCTCACGATCCTTGTCCCGATCTTTTGATTTGTGCTCCTTATGCTTGTGCTCTTTATGCTTGTGTTTCTCTTCACTTTTGCTGGACTTGTGAGAATCTGCAAGTGTACACAGAAGAAACAATCATCTGGCGTCATTTCTTTCCCTTCCTTCTATAAATCAATAATGGTTATCAATCTTAGGACTTTGCCATAAAAATTAAAGATCACACAAATAGCGATTCTTGCAATTCTCATATTTTAAAATGATATCATGCTAAAAGTTGGCAAAGTATTTTTGACATTACATAGTCTAGCATTGCCACAGTCTAAATAGCTGTTATACTAATATGCTTCCCTCTCCTCCAAAAAAGGCGTCAGCTTTTGCACAGGCTGGCATACTTTCAGCCGGATTCACTAGCCATCACTTCCCTTCTGTGACCAATAGGTTTAGCCTCCATTGTAGCCCCTCTATTGAAAGCTGTTAAATCAATACAATTAGTGACCTAAGCCATCGCAAGAACCAAAAAAAAAACTTGTTTACATATAATAGATCTCATTTAGGGTTGCCAATTTTAGGGTGGTGGAAGTGGTAGGAAAGCAACATGGCTGATGGAATGACAGAGATGGGAAATTACTTCCTTTTCTGATGAAGGGTCTAGGCCCGAAACGTCAGCCTCTCTGCTCCTATGATGCTGCTTGGCCTGCTGTGTTCATCCAGCCCTGCACCTTGTTGTCTCAAGTAAAGGCTACACAGTCTAGACACTATGCAGTCAACTTAAAATGCTGGATTCAGAAAGCCTTCTCAACCCAAATTACTCTACCTAGGGGAGGTAATGGCCTAGCAGTATTATTGTTGGACTGTTAATCCAGAGACCAAGGTAACATTCTGGGTTCAGATCCCACCACAGCAGATGGCGGCATTTGAATTCAATAAAAAAAAAATCTGGAATTAGGAGTCTAGTGATGACCATGAATCTGTTGCCAATTTTCAGAAAAACCCATCTGGTTCACTAATGCACTTAAGGGATGGAAATTGCCATCCTTACCTGGTCTGGCCTACACGTGACTCCAGAACCACAGCAGTGTAGTTGACTCTCAACTGCCCTCTGGGCAATTGGGGACGGGCAATAAATGCTGCCTAAAAGCAACACCCTCATCCAGTGAGGGAGTAAAGAAAGAAAAAATCCTGTAGCCAATGTCTTGCACAACTAAACTTTTACATATTATCCCATTCCAACAATGGTAACAAGAGTTATTCCTACAGCTCATTGCACTATGGAGAAAAAAGGGAGATTGAAACTGGTAAGTATTGAAAAAAAAAGTGAGTGAAAGCACAAACCCTTTTAACATAAAGAGGCACTACAGATGAGGAGGGAAAACAATGTAATATTTCGCACACTAGATACAGACCAACATATTTTCCTGAAATCAGAAACCTTTCCCGATTAGGCTGATTGATTTAATCTTTGCATCGCAAGAGCAATATCAGGTCATATCAAGGTCAGCACCATTTTGTTACAAACATTCAAAAGGTCTTATTCGCATAAAGCAGGAATTATGGTCACAAAATAATCTTAACACATGCATTCCGTTCCTCATTCATATTTTAAAATTCTACTGTGACCAGTCTTTGCAACCTGGCACTCTAACAGTGTGAAGTGAAACTAGTTCACCTGCTTCCATTAAATCTGTTTTTATAATTAAAGGAGAAGCATGATCTACGGTCAAAGCTTGTACATTTTCAGGAACATTCTAGTCATTTATAAAATCAGCCCAGATCAAAGTTCCAAATATCCAAAGGATGTAACTACCACTGTCTAACTGCTGGCCTCAATAGAAAAACTTGCACCAATCTGTGGGAAACTAAGCTGTGTGCACAGGCCCAGCTAACTTTTGGGGCTTTCTGGATTGGGCCAAGAAATGGGAGGATGTGGGGGCTAACAAAAAGAACACAACAACTTGTACAATTAAACAATCATTGCAAGTCTGAAGTGTGTTTGTGTGTTTGTGTGTTTGTGTGTTTGTGTGGGGGGGGTGGAAAGAGAATAAACAACTGGACAAAAAAAAAACCCAGACAAGGGCAAACTAAACAGAATCCACAATGAAAGACTAGCATCTCAAACTTTAGATTGTCGAATGTTCTGCATTTAGTTATCACCTTAAAATACAGGACCAGATAAACTGTCAAAACAGGATTATGTTCAACTACTGCTGGTTTCCACTTACAGAATTGGGAGAAGGAGAAATGTAGAAGGAAATTTTTAAGAAATAATCTCAGAAAGGAGGAACAGACAGAAATGCAACAGCAGAGAAAAGGAACAGGGCCAGAAATGAAGCATACAAAATAAATTTATTACGTCTTGCACAACTTTTCACCCAAAGATCAACCAACAAGAAGGGTAATGAACATGTTCCCAAACCAGCTCACTGCAATGAAGAGGAAAGATGGGGTTTCACAGCTCTCACTTCCACAAACTCCTTTCCACATCCTTGTTTGTTAAAAAGGCCAATTGATTATGCCCTCTCAGTTGAGGTTAACTCATTGTTGGCATTGTCAACAAGCTAAATGGCCACCTTCTGTGCTAAAATAGTTCTATAATTCTGTGACCTACATATGGGCTGCTGACAAGGAGAACCACACTGGTTTGATGATCCTCAGGTTCTATTCAAAACCCTGGACAAAAGACAAGTGAACTCAGCCTGGCCAGCTAACATTGACTTTAAATTGCTTTGAGAGTTTTCCCACCTGGTTCAGTGTACTCCATCAGAAGGTGTGCCCGTCTGTAAGTCGGGTAAGGAATACACTGGATTTGACACAGGTATAGTTCGGTCCAAAAAAGTAGCAGACAGTTCATAGAACACAGAACAGTACAGGCCTTTTGGCCCACGATGTTGTGCCGACCTATTACCCCAAGATCAAACTACCTTGCGTACCCTACGTTTTACTATCCTCCATGTGCCTATCCAAGAGTTGCTTAAAAGTCTCTAAAGTATCCGAGTCCACTACCACTGCCGGCAGCGCATTCCACACGCCCACCACTCTGTGTGAAGAACCTACCTCTGACATCTCCTCTATACCTTCCTCGTAATAGTCATTTCCACCCTGGGAAAAATCTCTGACTATCCACTACCTATGCCTCTCATCCTGTACACCTCTATCAAGTCACCGTTCATCCTTCTTTGTTCCAATGAAAAAAGCCCTAGCTCCCTCAACCTTTCCTCATAAGATCTGCCCTCCAGTCTAGGTAGCATCCTGGTAAATCTCCTCTGCACCCTCTCTAAAGTTTCCACATCGTTCCTATAATGAGGTGACCAGAATTGAACACAACATTCCAAGCGTGGTCTAATCAGAATTTTATAGAGCTGCAGCATAACCTCACGGCTCTTAAACTCAATTCCCCTGCCAATGAAAGCCAACACACCATACGCCTTCTCTCCAACCCTATCAACTTGGGTAGCAACTTTGAGGGATCTACGGACGTGGACCCCAAGATCCTTTTGTTCCTCCACACTGCATTCTACATTCAAATTTGACCTTCCAAAATGAATCTCTTCACACATTCAAATGTGAAAAAACAGCAAAGTATTGAGGATTTCTGTTTATGGATTGGCAGCTCAGTAACATACAATGCCATCAAGGATGTTTGAAAGGTGGCTAATTCAAAAAAACAAATACCAAACAGCCATATAAATAATAAGCTAGTAAAAAGAAAGAAGCTTTCCTGGTTTAAATAAGTGCAGCACTGACATGTATTATTTCTAACTGTATCACTATGTAGTGCTCTTAACCAAGGGCAGCAGTGGGAGAACTGCCTCAGGAAATCAGTACCTCTTGTACTCCCTCTCTCCTCAATCTAAATCATCAGGCTTCCCATTACAAGTCATTTTTTATTTTAAGAGCAGAATTTCAAATATTATGCCAACCCTCAATATCCTCTATTATCAAATGCAGAATCATCCAATCATAATCTGATTAAGTACAAATAATTCAGATCCAAGCATAGAAGAACTTCACCGTCTAACCAGCGACTGGACTCCATGCAAAGACACAACTCATTCCGCCTTCCCAAAAGACTTGTGCTAATGACAGCTCCACATCTTCAGCTGTGATAATGATGACAAAGCCTCTAACTCAAGAGGCAAGGTAACCAGTTACAAAAGGTGGCATCATATCTAGCCAGTCTGCAACAGGAAGGGAAAATGCGATAATGGCTTATCTGGCCTTTCAAAATTTCTCCAGTAGTTGTTCTTCCTTGGCATTTGTCTAACTGGGCCTTTACATTTGATGAGTAAAGAGTCAGAATTTCTCCTCTCAGAGGGGAGTGAATCTTTGCAATTCCACTTAAGTATATTCAAAACCGAGAGAGAGAGATTTTTAATCAAGGGAATGGGGATAAGGGTAGAAAAGTAAAGCTAAGGATCATCAGATCAGTCATTTCTCACTGAGTGGCAAAGCAGACTGGATGGGCTAAAGTGGCCTTCTTCTGCTCCTAGGTTTTATGATCTTAAAATGCCCAGAACACAAAGCAAAGCTCAGAACCAACTACAGCACAAACACTTCTTGGAAACTCACTGATGGAATGCATCAGATGGCAACTAATCAGGACAAACAGTGTAGAGGATTACAGAATAATTATAAAATCAAAATTTACTCAGATCATTGATACTTAAAAAAAAAATACATAGAGCAGGCAAACTACACAACCAAACTCCTGAAACAAGAACAGAAAATTCTGGAAATACTCAACAGTTTTTGCAACATCTGTGCCGAGTGTAAGAGCTAACATATGCCCTTGTGTAACGGCTGCCCATCCTGCTGATTATTTCCATCACTTTCTTTTTATTTCAGATATCAGAAATCTGCTTTCTAATCAATGGCCAATCTTTCACTCTGACAATTAAAAAGTGTTCACAAAAGTCAATCAACTCTACAAGTTTATGAAGAAACACAAAACGTGACAAAGAGTCTGCAATGATGAGCACTCAACACAACATGAAAGAAAACTTGTCCGACTCCCAAGTCTATACTGGCTGATAGACATTTGAAGTAAACCAACAATGTAATTACATACTTCTCAAGCATTAAAGAGCCAACTACTCCTTCATTACCACACAAA